CCCCTGGACTGCAAAGAGAACAAACCTATCTATTCTGAAAGAAATCAACCCTGAGTGCTCGCTGGAAGGACAGATTCTGAAGCTGAGGCTCCAATACTTTAGGCCATCTCATGAGAAGAGAAAACTCCCTGGAAAAGACCCTGATGTTGGGAAAATGTGAAGGCAAGAGGAGAAGGGAACGACAGAAGATAAGATGGTTGGACAGTATCATTGAAGTGACCAACATGAATGTGACCCAACTCCGGGAGGCAGTGGAAGACAGGAGGACCTGGCGTGCTTTGGTTCATGGGGTCACGAAGAGTCGGACATGACTTAACGACTAAACAACAACAAACTAGTTGCTGCCCAGGCCCAATTCAAAGTGGTTGTTTTGACATATAAAGCCCTAAAGGGCTTGGGCCCTGGATACCTGAAGGAGCGCCTCCTTCCATATGAGCCTACCCGGCAGTTAAGATCTTGCCAGGGAGCCCTTTTGAAAGAGCCGTCCCTCAAGGAGGTAAGATGGATGGCTTGTAGACAAAGGGCCTTTTCGGCAGCTGCCCCAATTGAGGGCATCCCAATTGAGATTCGTCTGTTGCCAACGCTGATGACATTTCGGCACCAGATCAAATCCTTTCTGTTCCAGAAGGCTTTTAATTGAAATAATATCAACTGTGGGTCCTGATGGCAATTTTTAGAATATATATTTTAATTTTGTTTTATCTTTTTTTACTGTATTTCAATTGTTGTAAGCCGCCCAGAGACCTTTGGGTAGTGTGGGCGGCATTTAAGTTAAATAAAATAAAATAAATAACATTCTGACTGGCAGGAGACAAGACTTAACAGCCAAGCCACCTATGCGCCAAGTGGGCAAGCCCAGGACAGGTATGACCACCCTCCTTTACTTAGCACCAGTTATTTGCAGAGCCAAAGTGGCCAGGATAGTGTTCCTGCAAAGGGCAAGAGATGTGAAAGGGACATCTTGGCTGTGCCCATAACACTGCCCAACCTTGGAAGGAGAGTAGCAAAAGCAGTTTACATGGACACACAGGCCATGGCATTAAGCAACAAACCCCCAAAATGCATTTCTGTTTCTTCCCTATCCATCCCACCTCTGTGCTCAGCTAGCTCTCCTCCACTGCTGATACCACTGGAAGCTCAGGAACAGCGGAGCTCCTCCCAAGCCCGGAGCAGAGAATGACACCAGAAGGCAGCCCTAATACAGTCATGGAGAAGCCACCTTCTTCTAACGTCTTTTTGACCAGCTGGGTTATTTCCAAGCTTAGAGGAGTTATTAGACTATAATTCACAGAATCCCCAGACAGCACAGTTTGAGGTTCCATGAACGGTAGTCACAAAAGTAACTTTCCCAAGCCCCAGGCATTAGGAATTTTAGGAATTCAGTTCATTCTAGGAGAAGCTCATATATGAGATAGGGAAACTTAAGGGATTGGGGGGGGCGGCGCAAATGGGTCTGCCCTCTACTCTAAAATCAAGAAAGTCAACCAGCCCTCAAGATCATCTCCAGCTTGCTTCTGATAATCACACCCAACTGCATTTCTGTGATTCCTTTTCACATTTCTTGATTTCTTGAAATTCTGAGGCACAGTCAAGAGGAGAAGCCAACTGAAAAAAATTCAGACACTGGGGCAGATGTGGGGCGGGGAAGACCCTACGACGTCTAATCAGCTCTAAGAAAAGGTGGGAAAAAAACCCTGTTCAGAAGCCACTACAAGCAGAGGCAAAAAAACCCCCAAGGGCAGCAACAGAAGAAACTTGCTGTTCAGAAAGGGCAAATAATGATGTCAGTGAGTTTCAGGCTGCACATTATTCTGCACATTTGGCAGAATAATGAATGTTGAGGTCAGGCTTTAAAAAGAGCCCACAGCAGGCCTGTGAAGCCTAAAATATATGCCCATTGCATTTTTATAATGCTGGGTTTTTGAATAAATTTTCTGCACATTGTGATCTTGTCACGATGTACAGGGACCTAATGCTAAGAGAGACGACCAAGAGAGGAGATAACCCATCCATACGCATCTTATTTCCCCAATTATTCCTACAGCTTCTCTAGATAAAGAGCAGTTTTATGTCAGTGACAGACACCCAAAGAAGCAGCAGAACACATACCTTCTGAGGTTTGCCCAGGAGGTTCTGGACCCTGCAAGAGAAAAACTGCAGTTAGCTAATGTGTTCTGCTACAGAATGACAGGCAGGAGTCCAAAGAGAGAGGTGGGAACGTTTGGCCCTCCAGAGGTCATTGGACTATAACTCCCATCAAGGACTATGCTGGGTAGGGTTGATGGGATCTGCAATGAGTCCAGTAAACCCTCTGGAAGGTCACAAGCTGCCCCGTGCCCAAAGGCCTAGCAGGCAGCAGTGTCCATAGCCTGATCTGCCTTTTGCAAAATCAAGACAACGTGTGGCGTAGGACATGGATCAGGATACACAAGTCTTGTGGGGCTCTCCTTATATTGGAAGAGAAGCCAGACACTCACAGGGGTCTTTTTGGGTGGATATCAGATCCTTGCAACAGCTTCCCTGCAAGCAGCCATTCCCTTTTTCACAATTAAACACACATAAGCCTTGTGTCAAGCATAGCGGATTTGAAACACAGTTTATTCTTTATTTACACACTTCTTTTTGACATATGAAAACTACAAATAAAACAATGCCGCAATACAGTAGAAAAAACCCAAAACACTGAAACAAAGATATTGGGTACAAAAAAATGGAACCAAGCTAAGAGCTCATCTCTGGATGGCATTCTATAATGGTGGCACTGCCAGCAAGGTCCTCTTCTTCATATCTGTCAGCTGTATTTTCCAAGGGTGACAGTCCAGAACCCAGAACCACCAAAGCCCACGGCTTGGGTAAGCTCCTACGGCTAAAAGAAGCCCTTGAGACACAGGTGGGCAAAGGCTCCTGGGCCAAGGGCTATTGTTCAGATCTGCCAGTCGTCCAAGGACTGAAGTCCCAAGAGAAGGGGATAAAGGGGGACGGGCATGTCCAAAGAGGCTAATTCACATATTTTAATTTTTTCAAAGTTCGCTCCCTTGAGTTTTTGTTAACCAAACACTATTTAAAAATGTTTTAAAACTGAAGAACATGTCTCACACACTCTAGGGATCAATTTCCCCCTAAACATTAAGGTTCTGGAGAGAGGCCTGGTGTGGCCCTAAGGGCAGGCCCCTCAAAACGGAGCACCAGCATGCCTTCAAAAATTAACACAAATTGGGGGTGGAGGCAGGATGCTTTGGGAAGAGACGAAAATGTCCCTTGGGGCCACATGAAACCTGGAGCCTTTCTTTTTGCCAAGGTTTCCTTTCCCCTTAAGGCAATCTGGTGCCAGGCTGTCAAGGTCCTTTAAACTCGCACTGGCAATTTATACTGAGCCTGGAAACAATAAGCGACAAGTGAAGCCGATGTAAAAAAAAAATCATGTAATGTGCTCAGATGGCTGAGCACCAAAACGTATTCTGGCGGTTATATTTTGTGTCAGTTCCAGTTCCCAAGTCATCCTGAAAGGCAGCTGAATAGAGCACAATTACATTAGTTCAGAAATGTTTTATTTGTAATGCTTTGGATATCCTGAATTCATTCAGCCTGTGGCATTCCTACAGTTATCTGCTGTACTCCTGCTAATTGTTTATTAAATTGATTCTACAACTGAGTCCTTCTAAATGCCCATGTTGTGCAGCCAGTAATTAACTTAGAACATTTTGGCCCAAATCTGCATGACGTTATGAGACTTCTCTTCTACAGGAGAGCTCATGCCAGAACCTTGGACCACAGATGATACAGGAAAGCTAACTTGCTTCTCCAGCTTCACAGCAAGGACAGAAAATAATGTCAGCAACAATCACTCTTAGAAATGACTATGTGATTGCCCTGCCTCATTCATCAAATTTTACAAAAGTTTGCAGTTCTCCTGAATTCTTCCACTGCTCTTTTCCATCTTTCTGTTTCTACAAAACATCAGTTAAGGAGGAAAAGAAGGGACTGCTGCACAACAGCCTTTGACTGGTCCTAAATAGCCCGCCTGAAATAATCTAAGTAGACTGGTAGCCACAAGAATGGTGACATAATTTTGCGTATTTCTCTTCCTTTAATAAATCCTTATCTTTGGAATAATCGTGTTGAATTCTAGGTGAAAATTCAGAAGCTCTGGCCTACTTGCTGTAAATCACGAACTGCTTTGTTCTACGTTTCGTAGACTCTGCCTTAAACAGAGGATGTGGAGGATTAGGAGGCCTTATGCGTTAAAACAGAAAAGGGTACCTGTAGTTTATATTCCTTCTGGGTGTGCCAAGTTCTCCTCTACACACCTGAATACAAATATACAGTGAAGTGGTAGGAATTATGTACCTTTTCTGTGTATATGAAAGCTGGTTAGCTTATTGCTACACTTGTATACTAAGCCACACCAAAATACAGATTCAAGTGCAAGAAGGATGTTGACTCTTCTCTTTGCTCCATGAGGCACATCATACTCACAGAAGTGCATGTCCCAAGAGCTTTTTACCTGCTTAAGGTGAGGCAGAGCTTGTCCCCGCAAGCACGGATCTTGTTCTGGGCTTCAATGTGGGTCAGGCTGCTGGTGTTCTCTCCATCAATGCTGAGCACCCAGTCACCTACTCCCACACCTGCCTGGGTTGCTTTGCCCCCAGGCGTGAGCTGGAAGGAAGAGAAGAGGAGAAGAGAAAGAGAAGAGAAGGAATCAGGCATGTAGGCTATTTCCCAGCATGAAGAGACCAAGCCAGGCAACCAGCATTCTATCTTCAGCATTACCTCTTACACTCCGTGGGACGAGACCTGAAGCAGTCACATCAAACAAGAGGTCTGCCTTCCTGTTTCTCTGCATGGAATAGCAATCAGGGTGTTGGACTGGCACTCAGGAGATTGCTTAAATCCTTACTCAAGCACTGAGTGACATCAAGCAAGCCACTCTCTCCCCCAATATTCTAGCGGTGGTGTTGTCCTCAGAATAAAAATGAGAGCTTGGGAATTGCTGTGCACACCATCCTGAACTCCTGGGAGCAGTGGTCTCCAGATGTTCTTGGACTAAGATTCCCAGAAGCCTTCACCACTAGCTGTGTTGGCCAGAATTTCTGAGAGGTGAAGTTCAAGGACACCTGGGGACCCAAGGTTGGGAACCACTGCCACAGAGGAAAGGTGTGATATACACACATAAATAACATGTACAGTAAATATTTACACTCTTCCAGAGGTGGTGGCAGCAGACAGATGTGCTCAGAAGCTGTGAGGTATAGCAGTTGTGAGCATTGGGCTCATGAAGAAATATATTTCTACTGCATGAAACTCATCCCTACACCCATTTTCTTGACTGCCATGACAGGAGATCCCACTGTATCAGAGTTCATAACCTGTGTTCCAAACAGCCATACTCACATCTACCTCATCCCCTTTGTTATGTCAAGGAAAAAACTACTGGGCGACAGAGCATGCTAAAAAGAAAGTTCCAGTAAGACAAAGATAAGATTCCCCTGGTGTGGACCTTGTTCTTCTCTCCATACAGAGCTGTACAAGACCTTAAATTGGCAACATGCACTCTGAGCAGGCACTGCCCCATGTTATGACAAAAAAATTGAACAAATTAAAAAACAAAAGCAAATACAACTATCCTTAGCAAATGTAGAACAGCTTGAGATTCACCAAGCACCATACCACACTAGGGACTCTTTCATTCTGAAGAGTCATACCTACTGTCAATGGCAATGCCCATCGTCCTGCTTCATGGTTAGCAGTGCCTTCCTCTTCATATATTACCTCACACTTGTGTCCATGTGGGAAGAGTCCCAGGGGCAGAAAGCCAAAGTTTTTAATCTAATCTTTTGAAGGGTGTTTTTATTCCACCTGTACTGCAGAATTGCAACGGCAGCGAATATCCTTTCAAAACTGCCACACCGGCAACACAGATAAGCTTTACTCCTCTGCCAGAGACTGGCAGTTTTCTCAGGTCCACAATTGGCACTGTCAGGTACATAATCTCAGAGGTTTTTAAACCATCAACTCTACTAGCAGTAGGCAGAGCAATCTTCTTTCCAATTAACACCTCTCTGGCCTCCTCCTCTCCCAGTGCCCAGAAGGTAAGACTTTCCAAGAGTGCCTTAGTGCCTCCATTGTAACTCATCTGATCAGCTTGCTCATGTTGGCCTATTCTCCTTTTTTGCAATCCTGATTAGGAATGAAAACAACACATGGTTCCCTTTGCTTCAAGTACACCCTTTGAGAATCAGATCAGATTTACCTGAGTGTCCCTTACACATGAGGATTCTTTCCCAAGAGTCTTGAGCACAGGACAACAAGTTTCTTAAGGTGTACTTTATTTTTTTCCCATAAGTACCTTTTGTTTCCTTACCCCCTTCTTCCTCATTTTAAAAAAATTTAAAGGACCAAGGGACGAGTTTCCCACTCACCAACCTAAGACGCCTGGCATTATGCTAAATGGGGCCAGATAAACCATTAGATAGAGGGACATGGCTACTTTGAAGGGGTAGCAAATTTTTACTCAATTTTGTTCTTGTGGTTATCATTGTGAGTTTTACAGCCACAAACATGGGGAGATACTTGAGAAACTGCCAGCCTTGTGAGCAAAACAGCTTACCTGCTTTGGGCACTGCTGAACTTGACTTTAGATGGGTGGCATCCAATTGCACTCTATAGTGTGTTATGTGCTGCTGTCCCTCAGGCAGCAATAGGCATTGAGAAGAGAGAACATAGGAAGTTAGTTGTCTTACATAAAGTCAGACCTTTGGTCCAGCTAGTCCAGTACTGCCCACGCTGACTGGCAGCCATGGCTCTCCAGGGTTTTCAGGACAGCCGTACTTGCCAATCCCTGGTATTATTTGGTGGTCTCCTGTCCGAGTTACACCTGACCCTGCTTAGCTTCTAAAATCAGATATAACTATGGGGTGCTGGGATGGGATAGCAGTACGGAAGTAGGAAGATGGTGGAAGAACAATACAGACAAGAGGGACATAGACACAGCTGGTCCACCTTAGGGGGCAAGTGTAAAAACAGCATCACTACATGCTCAGAGTGAGGTTTACAAACACGATATATGGAACAAAATCCATATTGGGAATAATACTATGGCCAAGAAAAGTAAACCAATAAAATATGCACGGGAGAGCAGATAAAAACAGAAGAAAATTTAGTTCATTCAAGATTTAGGACTGAATTTATACACCACAAGGCAGAGAGAACACAACCAACCCACTGATGAGGCCTCTGTGTTCTTAAAAGAAGTACAGAAGTGGGGATTTCAGCAGGTGCCAGCCTTCCTGTGCATGAATGACAAGTCGCGTCTTGCAGGCATTCCTTCTGTTCCTGTCAGGCACCCTCCTGGACTTCCTCTGCATCTGGTCACCTTATTTAGATCCACGGCAGAAGGTTAAGCAATTGCTGCACATTTATTGTGCAATAATAGCACATTCTCTGGAAGGACCAGGGGCTCATGGGAGAGTTCAGACTTGCTGATGAATGCGGCAGACCAGACAGAACAGCATAAGCATAGCTTTACTGTTGCCAGTTGCTGACCCAAAGGGGCTGTCAAACTGTATCAGCAACAGATACTGTATTCTGGTTACTGAGCTATGAAATGGAGGTAAGTGAGGAAAACAGTTACCTCCCATCAAGTCTTTCTCCTTGTATATGCATCCCTCAGGTATTTAGTGGATACTTCTCCAACCTGAGGTGGACATCTAGAATTAGAAGGCTGGTGGCTTCTCTATATAAAGTATTTAGTTCTCTTTAAAGTACTGTACAAGGTTCTGCACTGATCTTGTCAGTATTGTTCCCACCATCCATCCAAATTTCCTCTTGCTTTGGCAAGCACAGTGGCTTTCTATATCTTTTTGTGCCCACTGAAAGCACAGTTTATTTTTAGTATTGCTTTGTACCAGGGAGAGTTTAGCGCTATGTCACCTTCCACTTGGTAGTATTGCTGATGGTGACACCCTTCCAGTTTAAAGTGTTCAATCTACACTAAAACAAAAAAGCTACAGTGGGAGAAAATTTAATTTTTTTAAAAATGGTATAGATTTTCAAAGAGAAATTCAGAAACAAATCCCCTCAAAACCCATATACCTTGGATACTAAATAATAGCAGAAGTGGAATAAATGATCAGTCAGGAATAACCCTGAAGTGAACCAGTTTAATCCAAATTCTTAAATTTAAAACATAACTGTAAACAATGTTCTTCAAAGGGTGATCATTTGAACCTACTATATTTTTTGGTTCCTTCTCCCACAATACACTGTACAAATATAATATAAACAACAGCTGCAGAGACTCCCAGAAAGGGGCCAGAAGCAGTTAAGACTTCTCTCGAAGGGAGGCTCAATTCCCCCAGCCATGGCGAGGAATAATAATCATAATAACTACTCTTGCAAGCAGCAACAGACTCCTTGTTATGCCTTAGAAGCCAGGGGAGGAAACATTTGATCTTGCTGAATTCCGTACTGGCTGTGGGGTTTTCGAAGGTACAGTCCTCTGACAGCAGGGTGGACAAAGATCATTAAAAAAAATACAATTCAAAAGCATTTTAAAAATTTAAATCATTAAAAAAAGTCTGATATTTTAAATTTCAGTCGTGATTTAAATCAAACCCATCCTGCCTGAAAGCAATTTTTCCAAGATTTAGAAGGGAGATGCCGATTTATTTATACATTATCCACTAACATATTCTCAGGGCATTTAAGATGGATTGAGTGCTCATGTGTGGAGGTGGATGGCAGCACAGAGGGTGAAAATTGAGTAGGCCAAGCCTACTCAAATAGGGAGAAAGAAAAAGGAAAGTTTCTAGAATCACAAGAGCTTAAAGAAGCAAGACCGGAAGTAGAAAAAAGAGACTTCACAAGTTTAGAGGCAAGGGAACAAGAGGAAGAAGGGATATACTCAGAGGAATCAAGAAAGGAAGAAGAGGAAGTAGAAAAAGAGATTTACAAGCAAAGAAAGTAGAGGACTAAAATGGCAAATAAAATTTTGACTTTGAATGTCCAGGGACTGAACTCTGCAAAAAGAAAGAAAGAAAGAAAGAAAGAAAGAAAGAAAGAAAGAAAGAAAGAAAGAAAGAAAGAAAGAAAGAAAGAAAGACAAATGCTCCATTTCTTGTGAACCGAAAGAAACCGAATAATCCGCTTGCAAGAAACCCATACAGTATTAGAAAACAGGATGTAAAATATCTAAAGAATGGGAAAATAGGGAAATGCTGTACTTCAGCCTTCTTTAAAAAAAAGAGAGGGGGGTTTAGCTATCTATGTGCCAGAACACTGTCTATCAAAAGATGAGGAAGGAAGATACTGCATACAGGAGTAAAAATTCAAATCCAAGGACAAACAAGAAATGTAATTTCAGTATAGGCACCAATAGATGGAAAAGCGAATTTCTTTCAAAAAGTAATTGATCGGAAATCAGAAAATAAAATAAAAGAGAATCAGGGGAAACTACCAAACAGGTTTTTTTTTTTTGACATGTTGGATGTTTTCACATTAGAGGATATTTGGAGAATAAAACATGGAGATACCAGAGAATACACTTTTTATTCAGGTACACATAAATCATTATCAAGAATTGATCTGATTCTAACAAATAAAACATTCTTTAATTGGATCCATGAAGTAAAAATCCTACCAAAACCATGCACAGATCA